TTGCACAAAACCCCCCTGGTCCCAGCAAAAAAAAAAAAAAAAATTGTGGCTCGTGTAGCGGGTGGGAGGGAAAAAAAAAAAAGAAAAAGAATTGTCAATCACCGCATACAACATATAACAACGTAAAACAAACAAAACATCTCGGTCCCCTCCCATTCAGCCATCTCTAATGCACGGATGTCGACGAGTGGGAGAGTTTGACGCCAAACTGTCTGAAGTCTGCTGAGGAGTATTGTTGTGAAATGTTTTGTGAAAAGAGACAGCCGTAGGTCCACTCCTTGCTCCCGCAGCGCTGGCTTTTGTTGCGCGCTTCGCAATGGCACAGCATAATTACAGCCTTGGCGGACTCACCCATCGCCGAGCCTCACCTCACCTCACCTCACCAAAGGTGCATACAGGCACTACCCAAGTAGCAGAGGCATCTAACTCTTTTTTTTTTTTTTTTTGTCACAGACCAAATCGCAGTCATTTTTTTCCCTCCCAAAAGAGGGCCGCGATGACTCTGGACTTCGTATAAGGGGACAGACGCCTCGTCATGTTCTTACAGCCAGGGGGTCTGCGCTTGCTTGGATGGGGTTGCCGAGAGCGATGCCGTTGTTTTGTTTGGGTCGTGCGGTGGCGTCTCTCGTCTCGGTTGCGTGGCGTTTCTGCTTGGGCCAGGGTGCACAGTACACAAGTTCCTGCACGGTGAGACCCCAGATGTCATGGCCACTTCACCTAAAAGTGCGCTTGGAGTTTTGTCCCTTTGTGCGATTGAGTTTGACACCCTTGGCCTAAGCTAACCTGAAGAAAAACAAAGCTGCATGTGAACCTCTCTCGCAGCAAAAAAAAAATGACACAATGCAGTCAGGCAGGTAACGTTCTCCTCGCATTCGCCAAACCCACGCCTGTCCGTCACACCGCCAGATTGCGAAACGGGACTCAACAGTCCTCAGTATGTTTCCACGACTCCAGGATTCTCGCATCCGGTGATTCATGTCGCTCAGGAAGCGATTGTCTCGGACCAGTGAACATCCTCATCAATATACAGACCGGGCTCCTGCTAATCTCCCTGTTTTTTTTTTTTTTTGTGTGTGTGTGTGTGTTTTGTTTTGTTTTTACGGGTGTTTCAATTGCTCACACACTAAGCTGACACCCACACACACAATTATTTGAACGGAAACACAGTGAGCGAAACCTCTTGACAAGTCTCCAAACGTTTTCTGCTTTGAACGCATTTTGCTGGACCGGATTTTTCAAATCTTTTCAAATACAGTCCACAGTTCTCTGCATAAGACGCAACAATCTTACACGAAGTCGCGTTTGCCATTTCAAAACTATGCCTTTCAAAATGACACATGACTCACGAGCTTATTGGCCTTGCAATACGTGCTGTGCCGCCTGGCGAAAGACCTTAACCGGTTAATTGTTCAACCACTTCAATCAGGCAGTAAGCACTTTGAAAAGATCACAGGTGGCGTTTTTTTACAGGGAGAGGAAGTGGAAAAGAGGAGGTGAGAATAAGAGTGGGAGGACGAGTGACAATCATCAGTTTGGGTCGGACTTACGAGTGTATTTGGAGGTTTTGATGTGTAGTTTTGTGCATCGTGTTATACTCGCCTTGAAACTTGAATTTGCCAGCCGACTTTTAGCCCGTTTGTACGGAAGAGGATTAGGGCCAATGGAAAAAAAAAATGTTGGCAAGATTCTCACTTTAAAGTCAGAATTCTGACTTTAATCTCATAATTCCGACTTTAAAGTCAGAATTCTGACTTTAATCGTACGTTTGAAAACCTGAGAAGAGAAAAAGCATGCCCCAATCGCAGCATTGACACGGCAAGGAGGTTGTGCCCCGTCGCCAGTAAAGAGAAGAAGAATGCTGGAAGCAGATGACAGAAAGCGAGAGAGAGCGCTGCCTTCACTGGGGCAACAATTCTCCTTACATTAGCCTGGTGGAATAATAATAATAATAATGATAATAATAATAATAATAATAATAATAATAATAATACATTTCATTTAGAGAGTGCTTTTTCGAAAGAACTGAAAGACGCTACACAGCTTTAGAAGAAATAAACGATCTAAAAAAAATAATAATAATCGAACAAAACAAAACGAAACCGAACAAGTCCAGGTCCATTGTTGAAATCAAATGTATACGAATAATTAAGAAAGGTTGCACTTGAAGTGGTTTTGTATCTTACGGAGCGCCTAAGCCGCGTCGGTGTCAAAGTGCGGTCCTGGAGGGCCGCTGTGCTGTCCTGCATGTTTTTCAAGTGTCCCTGTTGCAGCACACCTGATTCAAATGAGCAGATCGTCAGCAAGCTCTGCGGAAGCCTGACATATTGAACACCGCGAGTTCGATCAGATGTAAAAGTATCATTTCAAGTTTTCAAATATGGGTAAAGTTTAGAAAAAAAGTGAAGTCGGTAAAAATAATCGAGAACAAAGGAAGAGAAAGATTTCTTTTTTTAAATCGATGCATTTAGTGTTGAGCGATTGGGGAAAAAAAAAGTAGTGTCTTCAACAACATAACAACAAACAACATAAAATGCTTGTTTTTGGTTCGATTCTCATTTGCTTGTAAAGGAATGTTATTTCTAGTAATAGGCGATGATCACTCTTGAGGAATAAATTGCTTGTATTTGTGATACGTCTGAGCGCGCCCATTCATCTGCTTTCAAGAGTGCCTCGTTTCTTTTCTATCTTTGGCGGAGAAGGAATTCCTCCTGATTAAAAATGCGTCTTGACACGACTGTTTACCTTATTAATGAATTTGTCATTTTTAGGGAACCGCTGATTATAAAACATCTTTCCACAAGGGTTTGAAAACATTTGCTGTGGCACTTTAACCCGAGATAACGGGTCATGCGGAGTTTTTTTTCACCCCCTTTCGCATCAAGTTAAAAAAAAAAAAACACACACACTCGTGGCTCACATTTACATGGAGATAATTGCCAGCTCAAGAAACTAATGTTTATTATCCTTTTGTATGTTTTTGCTATTTGCACTTAATTGGGATGTTTCCAAAGACTTGCAGTGACAAATTGAATTTAAGTGGCGATAATGAAGACAATTTCTGCGCCACGAGCGAGCGGAGTCACTTGAGCCCTTTTTGCCATTGATGCGACTGCGCCCCTCCGGGAGAGCCAATGAGAGGAGCGCCGCCCGCGTGCGTGCGAGACGCACACGGCGAGCCGCGCACCGCCACGCAGCCTCACTCCACTTTGACACGCGCACAACAATCGTGCGCAGCGGAGACGGTGAGGAATAAAATATTACGTCTGCCGTTTCGGACAGAAATAGAAAGTTTTCGGTTTTTTTTTTATTGATTTGAACTTCGGATTTTTTTTGTGTGTGTGAGTGTGAAGATATCTCGGATGAATTATTAGTTCGGTCGTCCCATGCGGATGTGCGCACTCTTCCCCACAGCATTTTTCGATTTGTAGACTCTTTTGTTTTTGGCTGGCCTCGCGATGGCCGTCGTCGTCGTCCAGAGTTGGTGACCCGGCATGGCTTCCGAGCCGCATCCCCGATGATGACGATGAGTTCGCTGGCGGACACTTTGGTCTCCCCCGACCCTTCCAAATCGGCCTTTTTGGAATGCGGCGGCCACAGCTTCCCCGCTCACCCGCAGTCCTCGCCGGGACTGGCGCACAACCCTTACCAGTTCCACAGCCTGCACGCGGCCGCGCAGCACGACGGGCCCTTCCCGTCGTCGGCGCCCTCCTACGGCCGCCCTCTCGGTTACCCGTCCTACCACAGCCCGGTGAGCGCGCACACGCCCGGGTCCTACCTGCCCTACCCGCACGGAGGCCACGGCGGCGGGCTGCAGGGGCACGCCAGGCTGGAGGAGAAAGGTCAGTTCTTTGATTGGACTTGCAGACGGGATCGGTTGCGGCGACGTTTCGCAAACTTTCGAAGCGCGTCAAGTCCGCGCTCTCGTTCCGACTCGTCCCCAAATCTGACGGCGGCGTGAAATGAAGTTCTTGCGGTCATCGGATCCGCACTCGAGTCGCCCCCATCGCGGAGGGGGCCGAGGGGGACACTTGCTTTTGAGGCCTGCTCGCATTGACCGATTTGTTTTTTTTTTTTTGTTTGTTTTTTTTTTTTAGAAGTTTCCTCGGAAAAGCTTTGAATAGTCTCTCTCGGTTCTGCGTCTTTCGGGTCTATTTTTCACCACCGACGACGCTTCCTCGCGCGGCGCATTTTTGAGATTCGTGTTAATCAGACGGAAAGATGTGAGACCAAAAAAAAAAATCAATTAAAATGTAGGTTTCAAAAGAAGTGCTTCGGAAGTGAACGGTCATCTCACTGCATATTTTTTTCGAGAGCTTTATTGATGTCATTTATAAAATTCAATTCGAAGCTAGTCAGCCCCCACAGCTGCAGGTTATCACTGCTCTTTCTACATCACTATCGATATCTGGTTTGCTCCTATTTGGTATGTGATCACAAATATCTGCATGTGCAAAATAGCTTCCAACTGCAAGTTGCCTATATAATCATTTATATTTACTGCCAACACGTCTAATTCTAGACCCTCCCCCCACAAAAAAAAAAAAACGTCTGAAATCAATTTCACGTTTGGTCCTTTTGCAAATGGAAACCTTCGGTCCTGTCCAACCTTGACTTTTCGTTTCCTTCCGTGACTCTGACTTCGTACTGTATTTGCATTCCCAAGAGGGGAAAAGAAACAAAAGTCAAACGGAAGGTTCTTTGCACCGCAAACTTTCCCGTTTGTGTCCGAGAGTTCAGCGAAGCTGGACTTTCATTTGCCCTTGATGGTGATCCGAAATGCGTCGGAACACTTGCAAGGTGCGCAGCTGTTCTTTGTTGTCACTGCAGGCAAAGAGCGGCCGAGTGAACAAATATTTGTCTGCACCGGAAAAACGATCGGCGATCTCTTTTGTGCAATCGTCGGCGAGTGGGAGCAATTCGTTTCCCTAAAGGTCATGTCTTGACCTCCACTGAAACCAACGAAATCCTCATCTCCCGACCGTTCTGTCAAACGGAAATGTTGAGCTGCCACGCGTGTCCTCGGACTGAGGCTTTCTCCTCCTCCTTCCCCAAGCAGAACACGACAAGCCCACCGCGGTCTTGGAAAACGGCGAGCTGCGGCTCAACGGCAACGGCAAGAAGATCCGAAAGCCTCGGACCATTTACTCCAGTCTGCAGCTGCAGGCCCTCAACCAGCGCTTCCAGCAAACCCAGTACCTGGCTCTGCCCGAGAGGGCCGACCTCGCCGCCAAATTGGGCCTGACGCAGACGCAGGTAACGCACGCACCGAACGTCGAACGCACTTTTCCTCCGACTGGTCGCGGTTCTCATGCAGGCCGGCTGTGAATTTCACGTAGCACTTTGTTTTTCTTTGAATTGTACAATCGAACCCGAGTTGGCAAAGTCACCAATGTGGACCATCATCCGTCATGTCGACAAAATCGCGGCAGCGTTCGAGGCCAACAGATTGATTGAAAGATGATCGTAAAGGGCTCCGGTGCGCGGCACATCCTGAACCGGGGAAGAGGCACTCGTCATTGTTTTTTGCATGGCCATCGTTTAATCGATAGAAAAGCTGGCGATAAGCTGTGGTGTGTGACTCCTTTTTTCATATTTCTTGTTTCCTTTTTTTTTTTTTTTTTTGGACTTTCAGGTTAAAATATGGTTCCAAAACAAACGATCCAAGTACAAGAAGATCATGAAGAGCGGGCCCTGCGGATCGGATGGAGAGCCCAGGTCGGCCCCGCTCCAGACTTCCGCTTCTCCGTGCACAGTCTGGGACATGAGCATGACTCCGAAAGGCCCACCGGTGCACTCCGGCGGATACATGAACAATTTTGCTCACTGGTATCCGGGACATCCTCAGGATGCCATGCCCAGGACTCAACTGATGTGACATGCACTCGGATTGGAGGGCTTTTTTTTTTTCCTCCATAAAAAAACAACTCCCCCATATCCGACATTGTTTACAGTGTGAGACACTGGAGCAAAAATTAAGGAAAGCGCAGCAAAAAAAAAAAAAAAAAAAAGAAAAAGTTAAATCTGGGGCGACTGGTTGAAAAAGTGAGGCAGTTTTGGCTCCCGTTGCTCCAGGAGCTCTCAGTACACAGAAGGAAAGTGCAGCGAGGTACTGCACACGGATTCTTTGGTGGATTTCTCGGTGTCACATGAAGAAAATGCAAAAAAAGAAAACAAAAAAAGAAAAAAAAAGTGCCGATTTCCATGGTTGCATTCGGAATGCCGTCAATATTCCGGTGACGGAACGGTGAACTTCTTGGCATCTTTGAACTCGATTGAAACACCTTCGATGACTCCCATGCAACGCGTTAGCTATTATTAGCTCCAGTTGAACGACCTGTTCTCTCTCACAAGCGAGACATGAACATCGTATGACATGGAAAAAACAAATATCAACGATGATCAGACTTGGGAACATTACAAGCACAATCTGCGCTCAAGTGAACCTCTTCACCTGATTGTGCCCAAAGTTTTTGCGCGTACAGAAAAAAAAAAAAACGAAGGAGGAAAGGGCCATCTTCGAATCTCAAGAAAAGTTCTCCAGCATCAAAACAAGCAGCACCAAGTTTTTTCTTTTTCTTTTTGGGAGTAAAAAAAGGGCTCGATGGTGCAGCAGAACGAGACTCCCCAATGTCGCCGCAAGGAAGGTTTGTCCCTTTTGCTTCGGCGTGAAGCATCCACAGGCACGCAATGAACGCCTTGCTACGAAAAACTGAGACGGATATTTGGGTATCAGCCATGATTCGGGACAATTCTTTTATTGGGAAATATATATGAATAGATTTATAGTGGGCTTATGCGGCACAAGCACGTGTGGGAAAGGGCTTTCCGGGAAGTTTTGCTTTCGTTTGGAAGTCTGGTTTTGGTTTAAAGCTTTGAAAAAAGGATGGTGTAAAACAGGCACGTCCGGCTGCGGGCCCGCGCGGGGCCGCCGTCGCGCCCGTTTTCCGACTCTCCCGACCGCAACGCGCCCGATTCAGACGATCAGCTCGTCAGCCGGCTCCCAAGCGCCATTCGAACCATCCTGATGATTTGAATCGCGGGCGATGCTCCCGGCGGAGTCGGAAAACAGGCGGGGCGGTGGCCCTTGAGGACCGACTTTGGACACCCCTGGGTTAAAAGAACCCCAAAACAATCAATTGGGATTCTTCAGAGTGTTTGAAATGTACGTGAAAGGTGCCGTGATCATTTTTAATCAATTGTTAAATTATTTGTCATTATTTTATCAAGGCATCCAACGTGTGGCGTTTTTGAATGGCAACGGCTTTTCTCTCCGAGTCCGGTTTAATGATCACCTTTCCAAAGAAATTTCATTCAGAGTCTATCATGAAATCCCCAAAAATCATCATGCATGTGTGAAATGAAGAATTCCTTGTGAGTGTCGAAACGATTAAGGTTGAAATAATCAATACTGCACCGTAATAAAGTTTTTGAGGGGTTTTCTTGGCATCGGAACAGTTTCGGTTTTCTTTTGTTTCACTGAAGCTGAATGCTACAAAGTGGAACGAGCCCATCACAGGGACAGCCAAGGTGTCGATGTGTTTTTAAGAGAGAGCTGACTGAGATGGCTCGGACACGCCCAGAAGGAGAACCGTCGGAGCGCAGCTTGCACGAGGACATCAAATGCAAAACTCAGATGCCGAACGGTCTGATGACTCGCTACTGGGCAAAAACGCAGCGTGTCACCGGCCGAGGAAGAAGAAAGCGGTGAAGGAGTACAAGGCAACGGGAATTTACACGAGACCCAAACAGCGGGTGTCGCTTTTTATTTGCCTGTTCGTTTACACCCATGTGGTGTACAAATACAGACATGTTTCACGACTGAGGTTGGGCAGGGACGCCTTCATTGAAACCAACATAGCCTTCTCCATGTTTCAGACCCCCCCCCCCCCAAAATACCTCAGTTTGTTTTGATTGAAATGCTGCCATTTGGAGCAATTGATCAGGAGAGCTGTGTGTCATCTGTCATATGAATGGCGCTCCGCAGCAAATGACTCCAAGGTAACGTACGGTATAAAGACTGAACAAAAGGGGTCCAAGAATGGACCCTTGATGGACCCCACATGTCATGGGCATTCATCAGATTCCAACCTTCCAATTGTCACCAAATATCTCCTATTCTGCACCGAGTAGGACCTGAACCCTTTTGGGACCATTCGATTTCCCAACCCGTTGAAAACGATGCCATGATCAACCGCATGAAACGTTGCACTGCGATCCAATAAGACGAGCACCGACACCTTCCCTGCGTCGGTGGTCCGTCGTACATCATTTAGTGTTTTAATCAGAGGGCGGAAAATTTGCCACCAAGGAAGCCTTCGGTGTTCTCGATGGTGGTGGTGGTGGCGAAGGTTTTACAAGTGGCGGAAGAACACAAAATCCATTCTGCGAAGGCGCCCGAGTTGAATTGACAGGCGCGTGTCGCCTTCCATTATGACAGCACATTTGATAACAATTGCAGCGCAGTATACACTTAAACCAATTAAATTGTAATGATCATTTATGTTAATTCTCTACGATTATCTTTCTCTGCCTGTCAAAGTATTTGCCATTGTTTTTCAAGTGACGCTTCCATTAACATTGTGGTCATCAATTACCTTGTAACTCGACTCTTCGCGTCAGTTCGACGATTAGAGTGACGCGGTGCCAGCAAGTATGGAACATCAACTAATCACTCTAATTAACGGGAGCTCAAAAGCTCGTCGCCCATTATCGTTGACATCGTCGAATACAGCGGACCGAAATGTAGCGTTCCTCTTTTTCTTGGGGATCCTTTGACGGATTAAAACCTGACTTTGATAAGGTCCGAACACGAACCAGGCGGCGTGCGGATCGCAAAAATGCAAACTCAGATAAACTGCGTGACTAAAAAAAAAAAAATATTGATAGAAAAGCGCACCGACAAAGTATAAACAGAAACGGCTGGTCACAAGGAGCCGGGAAAAACAAAGCCTAAACCAAAAGCTCTTGCAAAAGGCAAGGAAATAGGAAAGCCGAGAATATAAACGAAATGACAAGAGCCCAATTACACGAAACAAAATATGAGGAAGATCAAGGAGAAAAATGATGTCATACTTACAAACAAAGCACAGGAGCGCAAAAAAGACCAAAAAACGACAAGGAGGATATCAAGAGGTCTGGAAAACAACACTTGAGCATGAACAGCAAACACCGTCAGTAATTGGACAAGGACTCGGCAGCTTGGCTTAATGGCAGGGCTTGAGTGGAAACAAGGAACAGGTGGGCCTGCTGGCGGGCAACGCCCCTCACTCCAGAACATGACGGACTTCAGTTTAATGCAGAAATGTGGTTTCGGTGCCACCTTGATGTCCATTTGTCACAAAGTGGCTGCTGACGAACAACATTCCAACAATAATAACGGAAGTCAACGTGGACAATCTGACGGGAGTACGCTTGTACACGACACTTGATGGCATCCCGAGCCATGTTGAGCATGGATTTTATTTTACATGCGCCAACTTCTTTGTTTTTTTTTTCTTTTGTATTTGTTTTTTATTTGACTTTGTTTTTACTCTGCTGCCTGCAGCCGGCTCGGCATTGTAAATGAGAATCTGTTCTTCATATAAAGTTGAAGAAATGGGGAGGGGGCAATAAAAGACAAACATAAAACCATCCGAATTCCATAGAAAGTATTGAAGAACAGTGCAATACATTTTGGGTTAGAAAAGCGAATCCAGATGCGCTGGCGTATCCTAACGAGTCAGCCATTTTGAAATGCTTGCACAACGCAATGACATCCAACACAAGATGTGTGTCCCAAATTCTGTCTTTATTTATTTACAGAAAAACGGTCAATCGCTACCGGAAATGATGATCAGCGAAGCAAGCCGACGGAAAACTGTTCACAGCGGTTAAGTCTTTCCAAAATATGCATTAGCCCACGTGTGGTTTTGTTGGTTGTAGCTGGAGGCAAGGAAAAGAAAATCTTTCTTGTCACTCTTGTAAAGCAGTTGCCGATTGCTGCCGGGTTTTGGTGTCATCATCTTGTCTCATTCCTTCCTCGTCCACCGGTGTCAAACTGTAAAATACTATCAAGCCTCCAACTTGTTGACGGATCACGATCAACTCTTGCCGGGTGGTGTTCACCTTTATGAGTGTTGAGCGTGGAGTTG